AAAGTTGGTGATGATTCTTCAAAGGATGCAATGACTGCTCTGAATCAAGAAGTGATGCAGCTTGGCCAGTCACTATATAACCAACCCGGTGCTGCTCCAGGTACCGGCCCAACACCTGGTGGTGGGGCAGGCTCTTCAGAACCATTGGACAAGGGATCTGAAGGAAATGTCATTGATGCTGATTTTACAGACAGCAAATGAAGCAGTGAGGGATATTGATACAAAGGTTATTAGCCATTTTTACTTCGGATTTTTCCTTCCGAAGTGTGTAAGGAATAATTTTGTTGGAATTGATCATGATTTGTGTGAGAAACTTTAGGTAATAGAGGTTAAAAATGTTCAAATAGTTTAATAGAAGATAGATATTGTGTCAGCCTTTGTGCATTTTAATGTATTTGTTGAGGATTCAGGGTAAATAAGCGAGTTTGCTAAGTGCAAAATACGGAGTCTTTAATTTGCTCGAGTGAAATTTCAATTTTATGTTTGTGGAATCCTCTAGGCATGCACGTTCAGTTTTTGGATTGACTGGACGAGAATTTTGGAGAAGGAAAATGAGAGAAAAATAAAAAACACAACAGTTCGTATCGTTCAAAACGAAAGCCTAAAAAGAGAGTTTACACTTCCATGTTCTATATATACAAATCTACAATTGTATCTATACAGAGGTCCCTTCAAAATTGAAACCTGGAAGAGCTTTACAGTTCATTATCTTACATGTTTCAAATTGCTTTGATCAGATATTTACATCCTTCAAACGCCAGGGACTCATACTTGGACTTCTATACTGTCAATCATTCTTCTATTGAAGCCATGGCTACAATCATCGTAATGCATACATCTAGTACATCTGCATCCTCGGTTTTCTTGAGGGTAGAGTAGTAGTTATAGGAGCAACAATCAACTTGGTATGTTACTCCCTCAGCTCATCCCATAGACCTGACCGAGGCGAGCCTTTCGGGTTCACCATTTTCTATGGGGAACAATAGGTGGTTTGCTGGATTGATAGCTGAGGTGAGAAGATTGCACCATATTCTGGTAATAGTTGTGAGGATGCTGAACAGAGTGACGGGTTTGCTGTGGTATATTTAGGTTGCATATGCTAGGCGAGCTCTTAACTTTGTGCATTTTAACTCCGCCCATTTGGTGACGACTCTGAAGCGGGCTTTCATGGTGCATGGCTTCCATAGTGCAGCTCATGGGTGATCCTGGGGACGAGCATGCCGAGGAAACAAAAGTCCCACGTCCTACAATGACAATTGGATGTGATATTGTGCTCGGTGGTGTAGCACAGATTATGCCATTGATGGCATCAATATATCGTAGCTCAAGTGCACGATGTTCTGTGNGATATTGTGCTCGGTGGTGTAGCACTGATTATGCCATTGATGGCATCAATATATCGTAGCTCAAGTGCACGATGTTCTGTGGTTGCCATTTGTTTTTCAATTGCCATAGGGTTTGCAGGAAACAGGAAAGCTCGAAGCTTCAAACTTCCTGCACTTTCATGATGGTCACGATCATCTAACATGCGGCGAAGATCTTCATCAGATGTCACTAACACCAAGGCCTCAAGGTCCTCCAAGAGCAGTCGATACTTAAGGAGCAGTTCACCATCAAACAGGTAAGTGAGCTTCGTCCTAAGTTCTATACGTAGTAAAAACACAAGGCATGTTATTTCATTTAGAAGAAACAGAAGTCAGGAAAGACCGTCAAAGTCTCTCTTCATGCATAAGCAATAAATACCCGTCTTTTCGCTAAACATGATGTATTGATGTCTGAATCTCTGATAATTAACGACGAATACTAGAACTAAAAGTTTATAGCAGATAAAGAAATACCCATTTTATTCAAAAATGTCACTTTTTTTACTT